AAAAAAAAAAAAAAAAAAAAAAAAAAAAAAGTGAGTTTTAATGAACAGATTTAATGATAAATTTCCAATTTTCCTTATTAATGGGAAACTGTTATAAAATGAGACTTGTTAATGTTATCTGAATTTTCCTTATTAATAATTCAATTTGGCTTCTCTATAAATAATGAGCGTCAGGAATTATCTCAGAAAGCCCCCTCTCACTCCTGATGGAAGCGGGCAGTAGGACACCCCTCCACTCAGCAGTGCCAAGAGGAAGCCCACGGCATGACTGGCCCTGCCTCTGGCTACAGGTTCCTTCTTCCCCTCCCAAAAGCTCAAGCAAAGGCACATCTAAGGATGTTGGCTGCTCTGGGAGATGCCATACATGGATTTGGGAAAAGATCTGGGAAAATTAATTCTCCATGCCTCCACTATGAAAGCATCAGGCCCTTGGAAAGAGATTAATTCCTTAGACCACCATGACCTTGAGACCTTGGCTGGGACAGGGTCATCCATGGATTTTTTTAAAACACAGATTTGACTCGTCACTCCCAATTCCTCACACAGGTTCAGCATCATTTAACTCAAAGGAGCTGATTCCCAAAGTATCCTGTCTGTCCTCATGCCCASAGGGATGGAAAAGCATCTCCTGTGTGGACAGATTTCCATCCATGCCACCCATATGTGGGACAGAAGGGTCCAGCAGTTCTTTCTGAGTAGTCCCCAGGGACTTTTCGTGTAGGATCAGGGATTTTCCATGTGGGATGCAGCCCACATGCTCCGAGAAGAACTGGCAAAAGCTTCCAGCATGTGCTCGCTGGTGACACATATGTGGTTGTTTGCATGGACACAAAGGTTAATCAGATCAAGTGAGAAATTCCAGCCTTGGCAACTGGTTCTGTGGCATTTGGTGCTGAACATGGGGATCGCTGATTTGGCTAATTTGGGCTCTTTTGGTGGGAGAGCTGGGTAGGAGTTTTTAGCCTGACTGCCAGCAGCTCCTTCCTGAAGCAGGCACAGAGARGGGTCCCTGCAGTCCCTTCCCAAATTGCAGCTCCACTCCTACCAGTGTGGGCACTGCTACTGTCCCCAGTCCTCCAGGGATAAATGTGACAGTCCCCTTCCTTCCCGTGCTGCCTCCTGACACCTCTGAGCAATCTTCACTCAAGTTGCTCAAAGACAAAACAGGAAAAAAAAACAAACCACTCACGAAAGACTAGTGAAATGAAAGCTGAAAASAAGATTTCCATGCATACAATGGGGCAAAAAATGAGGGGAAACCCACACAACTGACACGGTTATCCAGCCAGGGCTAGTGCCGAAATGCAGCAGGGGGCAGAGCACAGAACATCCATCTCTGCCTTGCTGGCCAGCTTGAGATAACACTCAAAGGGTGAYAGGCAGGGCAGACCCTGCTGACATCAGGGGTGCATCTCAAACATCTCGTGACACTGCACATCATTGAGCATCACCCCAACTCTCCCTTCCCAAAATATTTAAAATGCCCAGCTCAGCCCTGMTCCACAATTGGACACCTCTCAACCCCCTTAACACATCTGTCCCCTCAAAGGAATCCCCTCTGCCCAGCTTAAAAGGTTCTGAATCTTCTGTTTTTCCACACCAAATGATCCTTTGCATTTTTTCGCCTTCTTATTTTTTGACCAAATGAAAAATAAAAATCTTAAAAACCAGTTAGCAAGAGCMAAAATCTACTCCCCGGCCACTGATACAACCCCAGGGATCACAGAGGAATTGTCCTGGAGACAGAGAGCAAAAATCAGCCCATTGTGGGCTTTTTTGGTAATGTCTGAACTTCTCACTCATTTTTAAGTAAYACACACTGAAAATGAGCAACAACCTGTACTCTTCCACACTTCCCTTCAGGTTTTGGTCAAAACCCTTTTGCAACTGGTAATGAGAAGAGAAAGTATCCGACTGTTCCGGCCAAGAGCCAGCAGTGGGACCTGGTGTGAAAAGGTTGGGCCTGATAGCATCTCATGAAGCCTCTAGCTCTTTCTAAGTAACTTTGTAGAAGTTTGTGGCAACATTTTTGAAGCATCCMATTCCCACTCTAGGGGGAAAAAAAAGCTCCTCCTGAACACAGGAGCCAGTGCATGGTGAGTGGAGGCCAAGTCAGCAGTGTTGGGAGCAAGCAGGAAACCCACGGCTGCAGGAAGGAGGAAGCGACATTTGGAAACCAAAGGCACTGTTCCCAAACCACTGGCAGCCCTGCATGGCTGGAAATYGGGCATAAAATGGGAAAGGGGAAATAATTCCATTAGAAAAGCCTGTCCATGACTTCAGATYTGGCCTGCACAAGCATGTACACAGCTAGGGACGGCAGTGACCCTCTCATGACATCCTTATGGTTACCAGGGGGAAAGCAAAATGCAGATCCCGACCCCAAGTTCTCCTGCCAGAATTCCCAATGCAGTCCCACTGCTATGGATGAACTTTGCTGCTCGACAACTGCCTGGTCACCTGTCAATCTGCTCCACTTATCATCAATAATTTACCAACAGCTCCAGAGGTACAGAATGACAAAAGCCAAGGGAACTGCCCATCCAGGCACAAGCTGTGTGCCAGCAGAGGTGCAATAAGACCAGCAGAGATGATGGACACCAAAGGTCACTGCCATCCCTGTCACTATCAGAGGAGCTGTGCTTTCCCCCATGAACTCCTGGCAGAACCAGAGCCGCTGGGAAAAACTTCCAGGAAATAAAGACAAGAAAGCAAAGAGAGAGCCTTCCTCTGGAGGAAACAGAATCGCCCTTGCTGGAGGTTTCCCCGGGAGGGAAGCACGTGGCAGGTGAAGCCCTGCGAGCCGCTGCCTCCCTGGGCACGGCCGGTGACCGGGCAGCTCCAGAGGAACACGGAGCATCCCGCCGCTATCACCCAAACCGAGTGACGCCCATCCAGGCTCTCCGGGAGAGAGAACCTCACCCGCGGCACGCACCCACCGCTCCTGCCGCACATGGCTCTGACCAGGCRCAGACGAGGCTTTCGAGGGTGTAAAGTTTCTGTTTGAGGCGCGTTATCCCGTCCCTCCCTTCTCTGTCCCCCAGGCAGTGACACGAAATGAGAAGCGCCCGCACACGCTTGGCAGACAATGAATCCTCTCCGTGCCGCGGGGAGCGGGGTGTCCCCTGTCCCAGGGGCCAGTGGGTGCGGGGAGCCCTGCCCGGCGCCGGTGTCACCTCCGGGGCGCGGGGAGCTCTGCCCTGCCCGGTCCCGCTGTCACCTCCCGGGCACCGAGACCTCTGCCCTGTCACCTCCCGGCCCGGCCGTGCCGCCCGCGTCCCCTCACAGCCCCTCCCCGCTGTCACCCCGCGGGCAGCGCCGCCCGGGCCTGTCACCCCCCGGGCCCGCGCCCCATCCCCGGGAGCCGGCCGGGGCTCTGCCGAGGGCCGGGCCCGGCAGGGAAGGGACGGAGGGGACGGAGGGCCCGGCCCGGCCCGGCCGCGCTCCGGGAGGGGAAGAGCGAACGGCAAAATGGCGACGCGGCGGCGGGCGGAGCGGAGCGGAGCGGAGCGGGGCGCGGGGGTCCCCGCCGCGG